AAAGTCTCGATCTCCTCTCTCAATCAGGTATCGTCAATCTCATTTCGATTCATTTTTGTTTAGATCTAGCTTATTCCTTAAACTCGATGCGTTATTACCAATCTCCTCCAGTTTCCAGATCATGTTGAGTATATAGATCTATTCATAGGTCTCTCTAGAATGTAATCATCGCTCGTTTTTTTATTGTGTTGTATAGTGATCGGATCCAGACTTTTTTTCTGACTGTAATCATCTTTTTGGGTTTTTCTGAAGTGGGAATAGTTTTCCTTTGTCACCGATTAGATCGAAGAAATGAGTTGGTGGTGGGCTGGTGCCATCGGAGCTGCCAAGAAGAAATTGGAAGATGATGAGCCAACGCAAAGCTACGAGAGCGTCGCTCTGATCATCGGCGTAACTGGAATCGTCGGAAACAGCCTTGCGGAGATTCTACCCCTTTCCGATACTCCAGGTGGTCCTTGGAAGGTCTACGGCGTTGCTCGCCGTCCCCGACCTAGCTGGAACGCTGATCATCCCATCGATTACATCCAGTGTGACGTCTCCGACGCTGAAGACTCCCTATCCAAGCTCTCCGCTCTCACCGACGTCACCCACCTGTTCTATGTTACCTGGACGAATCGGGACTCGGAGCCCGAAAACTGCGAGGCGAACGGCACAATGCTCCGGAATGTCCTCCGTGCGGTTGTTCCAAACGCACCGAATCTCCGGCACGTTTGTCTCCAGACGGGAACCAAGCACTACGTTGGCCCCTTTGATGGTGACAAGATCAGCAGAGTTCATCATGATCCGCCTTTCACCGAGGATATGCCGAGATTGCAGGCACCGAATTTCTACTACACCTTGGAGGATGTTCTGTTGGAAGAGATCAAGAAGAAAGAAGGTGTGACCTGGTCCGTGCACAGGCCAAACACCATATTTGGATTCTCTCCGTACAGTCTGATGAACATTGTAGGGACTCTTTGCGTCTACGCAGCCATCTGCAAGCACCAAGGGTCTCCTCTGGTTTTCCCAGGGAGCAAGAAGGCGTGGGAAGGCTTCACGACAGCCTCGGACGCAGACCTGATCGCCGAGCAGCAGATTTGGGCAGCGGTTGATCCCTACGCCAAGGACGAGGCGTTTAACTGCAACAACGCAGATATCTTCAAATGGAAACATCTGTGGAAAATTCTCGCCGAGCAATTCGGAATCGAGGAGTATGGATTCGAGGAAGGGAAGAACTTGGGGTTGGTGGAGATGATGAAAGGGAAAGAGAAAGTGTGGGAGGAGATGGTGAAGGAGAATCAACTGCAGGAGAGGAAGCTTGAGGAAGTGGGTGTGTGGTGGTTTGCCGATGTTATACTCGGAGTCGAAGGAATGATAGACAGTATGAACAAGAGCAAGGAACATGGCTTCCTTGGTTTCAGGAACTCAAACAACTCTTTTGTCTCTTGGATTGACAAGTACAAGGCTTTCAAGATCGTTCCTTGATTCATATTCCCCCACACACACATACTTGGATATCTCTCTACTTTCTTCTTTTCATGTTATGCGTCTGTCACTGATTTTTTCTTGTATGCAAAATGTCAAAAATAAAAAGTGTTGGAAGATTGATGAAACATAATATTCAATATCGTCGTCTAGATGCCAAATTACCATTTGCAAACCTAAGAAAGATGAACACATGTGAGATGTGGGGGCAAGGTCACACAATCTAACATCATTTGATTCTTTTTCATTTGCTTAAAGAAAAAATTATTATTATAGTACGTTGTGTTGATTGAATGATGATGTCATGATACAAGATAATAGGAGAGAAATTTTATAAAGCATTTATCTCAGTCGTTGGTCGGTTGGTATAATGTACAAAGATTATCTCGGTGTCATTGCATCAGTATTTAATGGTGATAATCGCATTAGTGGCAGTAAAAAGTAAAAACACACAATAATGTTGTTAATCAGTATTTAATTAGTGACATGTAAAATGTTAATGGTAACAAAAATCAACATTAATTAGTAACCCATTCAAACCAAACATGTTTTGTAAGACTGAAGGGGCAGAACAAAAGATGAAAGCAATTCTGATGCATGAAAGAATTGATGTAATATCACACAACTACCTCTACAGAAAATTGCATTTGTACATTGTTCTTCCTCTCCCTATATACAAAACCCACAATGGCATTTGACTGTCTCACCTCTCTTTCTCTCTGTTTCTTCGCCTCGTCTCGTCTGGCAATGATGAGCTTTAGCGTCTCTTTCGCTCGAGGGTCTTCTGGATCTTCCATGTCCAACCTAGCAAGAAGGCCACAAGTCCAAGTCCCACACTTCCCCAAAGTGTCACTACCCACAATGGCATTTCTGTTGGGTATAATCCTGTTTGTGACACCCCAAAACCAAGTTTACACACTCTCCACACTATGTAACTGCAACCATAAAATAAATAACTAAAAGCAGAGCATGTGTAAGCAGCCACTTACCAGTTCCAAACTTGATGCAGATGAGAAGTTCTACTATGCATATCCCAAGTGACAGCCAACAGAATGATCCCACCTTTTTCACGGAATTCCTGTGAACAACCAACACTTCCAGTTATACAAAAACCCTCCCTTTACCAACACTCACTAGAGAATATCATGGTGGTTAATATGGTTATAGCTATACCGGTCTTGGAGATATGAATTGTATTCCCGTGTTGTTGGTATCGCTATGAGCCACCACAAGATCAGCCTATAGAGAATCACCGGGTTTCGAGGGGGAATCCACAAGCTGAACTTGAGAAAGAATGTGTTCAGCTCCACTGTCAAGAAGACAATGCAAAGAGTGAGTACTTGAATAAAACGCCAAGGCCCCTGCAGCGGATGCCACTCGTCTTTGTCCCAATGTGCTGGTGTGAACTGCCCCAGTGTCCTTTTCACCTGAAAATTTCAAAACTCTCATAAAGCGGACAACGGCTAAGACCATGTGTATGCACTCTTGAGTTTGAAAAAAAAAAACCTTACTTTGCCAATAATGTTAGGCTGGCGGCTGATGCCAACCCACTCGTATGTTTTTCCATCAAAGTACCGTACTGTATACATTCCTGCCCAGATCCCTACCAAAATTAACAATATAAAATGTTATGCATAACATCTTAGAAGCACGACATTTGGAATAATAGCAAGGTGGATAAAGAATCATACCAAACCAGTTGCATATCAAGATATCAAGAACAATACTGTCCCACCAGCACTCGTTGAAATTTGGTAACATGTGCCGAAAAGTAAGCTGGAGAACATAAATATTAACTTTTGGTGACACAGGGGAAGCCATATCCTCATATTTCTCAAATTGAAACCTGGAAATATATACGGAAACGGAGACAAAGACCAACCTCCAATAACTCAAAACCAATTGAAAGCACCCACAGAAGCGGTTGATTCCTGATCAGAATTGCTTTTCCCCACCATCCAAAGATGTGAGCCAGGAAAAACTCGTCAAAAACTGTGTCCTGAGAACATATAAACCCAAAGCATAAGGCTTTAGATGATATAAAGGTTATGCACCCCAACACGAGAAGTGGATGCTAAGACAGTTTTGTTTAAAGACAAAGAGAAGTTGTTTAGAAGATACCATACATAAAGATTCTTAAACCTGTTTGTTGGATGATCAGGTACATAAATACGGCAATCAGCACCGTATGATCTCTCAGGAAGTTCTGCAACATGAGTAAACTCAATAAGAATGGTCAATCATAAACGTAGTACGAATAAATAACATCCCACTCTGACAATAGTACCTATTCCAAGGTCAGGGTGGAGAAACTTCATGAATTGCCTGGCATCGTCTCGCCTCTAAGAAGGAAAGAAATTTTATAACCTTTAGAGTTTGCTCACCAAAAAAAACAAGAATTCACAAGGGCTATAATCACAAGGGTACTGTAAGGATCTAGCAAGTAAAAAAGTGAACCTGGAAGAGCAAAAAAGTAAGTGCAACAAGGTAAATGACGGCCATTCCATGAACTAAGCGCCAGATTGCAGGATGTGGCCTGATTAGAACCCTACATAAAGCAGCAAAATAACACTTGATCAAAAGACAGAGCAGCACAAGTATCACCATTGAAAATCTACAGTAAACACCAAGAGGAGATTATAGAAAAAAAGAGAAGCTGATTACGTTGAAGGGGCTTGGAGCAAAGAGTAAGCAAGAAAAACTGCAATCATAGCCCACACTCCCCTAGACAAATAAACATAATCAAATAATGGAATCAAATGGAAAAAACAAAACATACATAAAGAGAGAAAAAGAGAACCTTTTAACAGATGTGACAAGATCATCAGATGTAGTGCTCTCAGGAGGATCAAGAGCTCCACTTGCCCAACTAAGTCAAATTCAATTAAAAAAAAAAAAAAACCAATTTGTAAGGATTAC